TCTGTGCATACATGACATAACACCGTGTTCGTACATGACATCACACCGTGCACTTACATGACATAACACCGTGTTCGTACATGACATGACGCCGTGCACTTACATGACATGACACCATGCACTTACATGACATAACACCGTGTTCGTACATGACAAGCGCCGTGCACTTACATGACATAACATCCCGTGCACTTACATGACATAACACCGTATTCGTACAGTAAGACACCGTGCACTTACATGACGTAACACCGTGCACGTACATGACATAACATCATCCACATACATAGCATGACGCCGTATGAGTACATGGCTTGACACCGTGTACGTACATGACACGACACCGTGTACATACATGACATGACGCCGTATGAGTACATGGCACGATCCCGAGTGCCAACATGAGACAACAACTTGTACGTACATGGCATTACACCGAGTGCCTACAGCATGAAAACATGTACGTACATGGCATGACACCGTGTACGTACATGACAATATTAGTTACACTGTGTTTTGAAAGGGTGTACGGGACTGTAAGACCCTAGTAAATTCCGTATTTCCTGACACGCAGCCGACGGTGTTTTGAAAGGGCTGCGCCTGAGGGAATACGGAATTTACAGGGGTCTTACAGTCCCTACATCTTTTCAAAACACCGTGTAACTAATCGTGTACGTCCATGGCATGACGTCGTTTGAGTACATGGCATGACACCGTGTGCCTACATGACATGAAACCGTGTGCGTACATGGCACAAACCGATCAGCGTTAATCTGTGTAAACTGATCGACGTCAAAATGACGTCCCGGGTGTGGACTGTGTCAACAGTGTCTTGGCTGTCAGAAGCTACCTTACTGCACATACAGCGTATGGAGGCCATTGCAAACTCTGCCAGTGACCCATGTGCTGAAATACATGGTCGTATATATCACGTTTCGTTTCAATATCCATTATTTCCACATTAGTCAGAAGCGCATGACGTGTTCTGCCCATCCGGCTCAAACCCTACAGGAACAGCGACTGATGCACAGACTTGAGTAAGCTTTGCCCATGCTTTAATTGCTCGGGATATGAAGTCAGAGGGACAGGTTTTTCATACAAACTTCTGGGCGGTGGGGTCGCCTAGTGGTTAAAGCGTTCGCTCGTCACGCCAAAGACCCGGGTTCGATTCCCCACATGGGCACAGTGTGTGAAGCCCATTTCTGGTGTCCCCCGCCGTGATATTGCTGGAATATTGCTAAAAGAGGCGTTAAACAATACTCACTCGTACAAACTTCTTTAATTACAAGATAGTACAGTACAACCAGAAATTATTGAGAATTTAAGATTGTAATTTTTTTTTTAATTTCACACATTACTCACGTATTAAATGTGAATATTAGCAGAACATAACTCCAGATTCAAAGACAGGTGACAGTATTTTGTCAAGTCACCATGGGCAGCAATGCAGGCTTCAATGCGGCGGGGCATACTACTGATCAAAGAAGTTAGAAAGTCGTGGTCCATGCTGTCCCAGTATCGGACCACCTCTTCTTTCATTTCAGCAATATTTGTCAGATTTTTCTTATTGACGCTTTCCTTCATAAGTCCCAAAACATTTTCTATTGGATTTAGGTCAGGGCTATAGCTTGGCCAATCTAATAATGTCATATGTTGGGTCCGAAACCAGGCCTGTGAATGCTTTGAACGATGTTTTGGGTCATTGTCCTGCTGGAAAATCCAAAACTTTCCATTTAACACATTAGCAGATGGAAGTAAATGTCCCTCGAGGATATCTTTGTACCGCTCACTGTTCATATTCCCTTCAAATACACAGAGGGACGTTGCCCCTAACACAGATATGCCACCCCACACGTTAAATTTCGGACTGCACTTTGGGCGCTGATACAAATGTTTTTCAGTTTGTTGGGTCCAGAATTTCAGTGTATTAGGAAACAGCCACACACAACTTTCATCTGAGAAAATCACATTGTCCCAGTTAAAATTTCTATGCTGTAAACACCAGTTCAACCTTCGCTCCTTTTGTTCAGGTTTCATGATCGGTGATGGAATTCCTCGACTTTTCTGCCAACCCATTGCATGCAGCTCAGTTCTAATTGTCTCCTTACAGACAGCCACAGTTCCTCAATCAATCATATCCAGCCTTACGTTTTCTAAAGTCCTTCGTTTGTTTTTAGAAACAAGAATACCAAGCCGCCTCCTGTCACCGACAGTCAATTTTCTGGGCCTACCTGCGCCTCCCTGGTGCTCAATGCCATATCCATTTGCAATATTTTTTAAAACACGATAAACAGTGGACAAAGGGATGCCTGTTCTACTTGAAATCACTTTAGCGGATCTGATGTCCAGGTTATAATACTCTAAAATCAACTTCCTCTTCTCTAAATCATCCATACTGAGGATCACTGAAAATGTCGTCTGCAAGCAAGTAAACAAAGGGGGATAACTCTTCACAAACTAATGAAAAAGGATTAACGGAGTTGTCTCTCTTGAATGAAACCAAGCACTTGATAGCTGGTCAAGGTTGTTTATATTAAAAATCCAATTAAACATATTCCTAAAATTCTCAAAAATTTCTGGTCATACTATATATAGGCCACAAAGACATTACAATGACATCAAAACACATTCCGCGAGTGAGAAACATGCGCACTGAAAACGGAGCATTGTGAACACAACATGTGATTGATTTAAGCGATGTTTTGGGTCATGTGTTCGATAAACTAGGCCCCGGTTTAGTATCAACACCCCCTACTAGTAGGGGCCTAGTTTATCGGTTTTCTAAGTAGGGGGTGTTGATACTAAACCGGGGCCTAGTTTATCGATTTTCTGACCCGCAGTGGGGTATAGTAGGGGGTGTTGATACTAAACCGGGGCCTAGTTTATCGATTTTCTGACCCGCAGTGGGGGCCTGTGCTCGTACATGGTGTCCACATGTGTTTTTTCACTAATGAATTGAATTTGTAAGTTACAAATGAAGACAACATAAAAAGGGGAGCATACATGTGACTGTAGCCAGCTTTTAAATTACAGCATTTTTGGATGCCTGGTTCATGTAAAAGTAAAAAAGACGTCAAATAAATTTTGTTTGCTTTGCATTTATGACCAAATTTAGAGGATTTGTTCAACTTTGAAGCAAACGCGGAAAAGACGTGAATAGATATGAAATTGACCTACCACACACATGCTATAATTATAGAAATATATGTGAGTGAGTGAGGTAAGTTTTACGTCGCATTCAGGAATATTCCAGCTATATGGCGGCTATAGAAATATAACATCTAAATACTGGTATAAAGTTATAAAAATGGACAACTGATACTTCACTTGAAATAAAATGGTAATACTTTTGCTTTGTTTAATGTCCAGTCGACCAAACTCTGAAATGTGCCTGTGAATGCATGCCCCGTCTTCAGCTGACATTCCAGCACACGCGATGATCACAAATACATTATGATAAAATATATACAAACATTATTTGTATACTTTTATTTTATGTCATCACATATAGTATCCCTATGTCAAGCAAAAATGAAATAAGCACATATATCACATTTGATTTGAAAAAACAACTTTGTTTTAAAAATATGCTATGATATTGCATAATTCTTACACTAGTAAATTTCAACTCACTATCTCATATTTTCAGAATTATATTTTGACTATATTTAGAATATAGGTGACGTTACAAAGGCGTGATACAGGTCGGCAGTACACGGAGGGAATCCGGAACACTTAATAACTAAAGACAAACAGGAAACTGTAACTGTATGTACAGAAACAATGTACACCCTGTCCGCTTTAATGACGACACCTATAGTGCATTTAACACAATATCTTTGGGGTTTTCTTTCGCAATGACCGTGACCGACATTGCAAACGCCACGAAGAATTGCGCACTTAGTAGAGTTTATCCAAAACGATAACATGGTTATGACTCTTTCCGCGTTGATGACGGGACAGACATTAGTATTTGATGTCAGTGACGATTAGATGTGAAGATTAAAATATCCGACATTTTGGATATTTGATCATGCTAGCAAGCATTCGTTTGCCACTGGCCATTATTCGATTATTAACGGAATTACCATGTAATACCGAGAACTACCGTATACAACTTACAACCACTAGACTTCCCTAACTACCTACATAATCTAGCATTTCGCTGCAATATATGAATGAGGAAACCAATAAATAATAAATAACCATATTCGAACACACACGAACATAGACCTAGCTGTAGGCGGATCCAGAGGGGGGTGGGGTGTTGCAGGGGGTGCGCAACCGCCACAACACCCCCACCCCCACCCACCCCACCCACACACATGCACCTTGTCCTGGAAGTTTATTAAAGGCAACAATGAAGTGTGCACACACACCACCACCACCACCCCCGAGGCCTATTTCAGAGCCTTCAAATTATTTAATAGCTAGTATTTGTGATGTAACGTTGTTTTCATCCACCAAACATAGCAATGTCAATATCACACTCAGCTGACAACGACTCTCGCATTAAAAATCCTGACTTCCTGGAAACGCTGGATTGAGAACACGCCCTTCGACGAGTGACACAACAGAGCTTGTCAGTACCCATTATTACTGCTAAACTGTCGAAGAAAGCTTTCTCGTAATGGAACACTTGCTGAAAGACCGCTGATATTCAGCCCCATATGACAGCTTGATAGCATGTCAAATGCGCGTCCTAAATGAATCTGTGCCCCCAAGCAGGATTATGTTAGTTACCCGTGTTTTATCCCATACCTGTAGTTGTGTAATAACCTGACGATCGACATGTAGACTATGTTACACAACTCCCGGCAGATACACGGTCTGCTGCAGACAGTCTGTTATGGCTGCACGCTAACCCACAGATAAAACTATGAACTGAACACAGAGTAGACGCGAATAAGACATATTGCTTCTAGTACCATCAGTTACCTATATGAGTATGACTGACCGAAGGTAGCTAGCTGTGCAGTTAGATGTAATGACATACTTACTGTCAGGGTGAGCTCTGTCCGACATCTGACGACCGCTTCTACCAGGAAGTGATATGTCCTGCACAGGGTGGAGCGTTATCTCAACCAACAGTATTTATAGTTATGTTTCGCATGTGGCGTCAGACAGGAAGCTCGGGCAAGACGTCATTTAAAGGGATATTCTGCTTCACAGTTTTTTAACCATTGGCAGTGAAGGCCTTATAAAAGTGCCTTATGTGACATGAGACATATCATTAAAGAATGCATAAGTGATGTTTGAACAGATTGAATCATGCTAGTTATTTGCCCGAACTGCGCAGATACAGGTATGCTGAATTATAGTTGAGTGAGTGAGTGAGTATGGTTTTACACCGCTTTTAGCAACATTCCAGCAGTATCACGGTGGGGGGACACCAGAAATGGGCTTCATACATTGACCCAAGTGGGGAATGGAACCCGGGTCTTCGGCGTGACGAGGGAACGCTTTAACCACTAGGCTACCCCACTGCCCCCTGAATTAAAGGGTGTCAGTAAGATATCTCTGTCGGGGGTGGATTGCACAAAGTGACCTTAGCGCTCTTGGACTATCGAGAGTCAACGTTACAGTCCGGGAGTCGTGAGTCTATGTTACAGTACCTGAGTCGTGAGTCTATGTTACATTAAGGGAGTAGTGAGTCTATGTTACAGTACGGGAGCCGTGAGTCTATGTTACAGTACGGGAGTCGTGAGTCAATGTTACAGTACGGGAGTCGTGAGTCTATGTTACAGTACGGGAGTCGTGAGTCTATGCTACAGTACGGGAGTCGTGAGTCTATGCTACAGTACGGGAGTCGAGAGTCAATGTTACAGTACGGGAGTCGTGAGTCAATGTTACAGTACCTGAGTCGTGAGTCTATGTTACAGTACCTGAGTCGTGAATCAATGTTACAGTACCTGAGTCGTGAGTTTATGTTACAGTACCTGAGTCGTGAGTCTATGTTACAGTACGGGAGTCGTGAGTCTATGTTACAGTACCTGAGTCGTGAGTCTATGCTACAGTACGGGAGTCGTGAGTCAGTGCTACAGTACGGGAGTCGAGAGTCTATGTTACAGTACGGGAGTCGTGAGTCAATGTTACAGTACCTGAGTCGTGAGTCAATGTTACAGTACCTGAGTCGTGAGTCAATGCTACAGTACGGGAGTCATGAGTCAATGTTACAGTACGGGAGCCGTGAGTCAATGTTACAGTACGGGAGTCGTGAGTCAATGTTACAGAGTCTATGTTACGGGAGGGAGCCGTGAGTCTATGTTACAGTACCTGAGTCGTGAGTCAATGTTACAGTACCTGAGTCGTGAGTCTATGTTACAGTACGGGAGCCGTGAGTCTATGTTACAGTACCTGAGTCGTGAGTCTATGTTACAGTACCTGAGTCGTGAGTCTATGTTACAGTACGGGAGTCGTGAGTCTATGTTACAGTACGGGAGTCGGGGTCTATGTTACAGTACGGTAGTCGGGAGTCAATGTTACAGTACGGGAGTCATGAGTCAATGTTACAGTACGGGAGCCGTGAATCTATGTTACAGTACGGGAGTCGGGAGTCAATGTTACAGTACGGGGGCCGTGAGTTTATGTTACAGTACGGGAGTCATGAGTCAATGTTACAGTACGGGAGTAGTGAGTCAATGTTACAGTACGGGAGTCGTGAGTCAATGTTACAGTACCTGAGTCGTGAGTCTATGTTACAGTACCTGAGTCGTGAGTCTATGTTACAGTACGGGAGCCGTGAGTCTATGTTACAGTACCTGAGTCGTGAGTCAATGTTACAGTACGGGAGTCGTGAGTCTATGTTACAGTACGGGAGTCGTGAGTCTATGTTACAGTACGGGAGTCGGGGTCTATGTTACAGTACGGGAGTCGGGAGTCAATGTTACAGTACGGGAGTCATGAGTCAATGTTACAGTACGGGAGCCGTGAGTCTATGTTACAGTACGGGAGTCGGGAGTCAATGTTACAGTACGGGAGCCGTGAGTTTATGTTACAGTACGGGAGTCATGAGTCAATGTTACAGTACGGGAGTAGTGAGTCAATGTTACAGTACGGGAGTCGTGAGTCTATGTTACAGTACGGGAGTCATGAGTCTATGTTACAGTACGGGAGTCGTGAGTCAATGTTACAGTACGGGAGTCGTGAGTCAATGTTACAGTACGGGAGTCGTGAGTCTATGTTACAGTACGGTAGTCGTGAGTCTATGCTACAGTACGGGTGTCATGAGTCAATGTTACAGTACGGGAGTCGTGAGTCAATGTTACAGTACGGGAGTCCGGAGTCAATGTTACAGTACGTGAGCCGGGAGTCAAGAGTCAATGTTACAGTATGGGACTCGTGAGTCTATGTTACAGTATGGGAGTTGTGGCTATTCACATTATTTATTAATGACCTCCTATATGAACTTGGGAATTCAGATTCTGGCTTAATTTTGCCATGGGGTAAATGCCCTGGGATATTTCTTGCTGATGACACTACTTGAAGTTGTACAACGACAATTTTGTAAAAAAGTTCAGGGACTACACAAGCGCACTCCCAGTATTGTTGTATTGGATTGTATCGGTATCATGCCACTACAGTATTACATAGATAAAAGAGCCCTCTACCTATTAGGAAAGTTATGTAATGCAAAGTATAACTGTGTTTTTAAAGTAATGTTTCTAGTTCGCCTTGGTCAATTTATGTGTACAGATGGGTCTACATGCAATGTATATAGTAGAAAATCCCCGATATACAATATGCTGCAACTTGTACATAAGTATAACCTAAACGATATACTAGCTAACTATGTCAATAATGGTCAATTCATCAGTAAGAAATGCTGGTCCAATGCCGTAAATGATGCTACTAAATCTCATAGAGAAAATCTATTTTATGTCCATCTTAATTCAAGACTTAGTCTGTCAAGATATATCAATATAAGATCCAGTAATGAACACTATCTCTGGATGCTAGCTGCAGAGAAGAACGACCAGTTAACTGATATTGCAAGACTTGTATACTGTGGATCAGCTGAAATTGTTTCAAGAGAATGTTTATGTAAAACTGTCGCCAATGATATTGTAAAGCATGTGTTTATGTCATGTACGATAAATATGAATGACAGAAATGAACTTTTTAACTCCATATGTGATATTCTGGATGTAGAAACTTTTGTTAAGATCTGGGATCAAGATGATGATGTTATTCTTGCATTTTTACTTGGTGGATGTCCAATTGCGTGCATAATGGAACTAGAAAGAGATGTATGGGCAAAAGTAATAATTAATGTAAGCCATTTTATAAGGAAATGGCGATACTTGCTAAAACACTTGTATGTATATGAACATTTGTGACTCTATCAATAATCTATCTTAATCATTTGATGTAAAATATATTATTACCACACATTGTAATCTTCATTCAGTTGGAGGAAATAAAGAATATCTATCTTGCAAAGGGTTTCGCGAAGTGAGTAACTCTTTCTCGGACGAAAACAGTGGATTTTTGACACTCGGGACGCTTCTAAAGACAGCTCCTTTCCTCCGTAGCAAGATGTCATTGACAGTTTGTGTTACAAGTCGTTAGCAAACAGACATATCTTAGTACACAGACACGCCATGTCACAAAGACACGACGCATTACACAGACACGATGTATTACACAAACACGGCGTATTACACAGACACGACGTATTACACAGACACGACGTATTACACAGACACGAGGTATCTCACAGACACGAGGTATCACACAAACACGACTTATTACACAGACACGACGTATTACACAGACACGAGGTATCACACAGACACGAGGTATCACACAGACACGACGTATTACACAGACACGACGTATTACACAGACACGATCTATCACACAGACACGCCATGTCACAAAGACACGAGGTATAACACAGACACGACGTATTACACAGACACGAGGTATCACACAGACACGAGGTATCACACAAACACGACTTATTACACAGACACGACGTATTACACAGACACGCCATGTCACAAGACACGACGTATTACACAGACACGACGTATTACACAGACACGAGGTATCACACAGACACGACGTATTACACAGACACGGGGTATCACACAGACACGAGGTATCACACAGACACGAGGTATCACACAGATACGAGATATCACACAGACACGAGGTATCACACAGACACGACGTATTACACAGACACGACGTATTACACAGACACGACGTATTACACAGACACGACGTATTACACAGACACGAGGTATCACACAGACACGACGTATTACACAGACACGACGTATTACACAGACACGACGTATTACACAAACACGACGTATTACACAGACACGAGGTATCACACAGATACGAGATATCACACAGACACGAGGTATCACACAGACACGACGTATTACACAGACACGACGTATTACACAGACACGTGTATTACACAGACACGAGGTATCACACAGACGCGAGGTATCACACAGACACGACGTATTACACAGACACGCCATGTCACAAAGACACGACGTATTACACAGACACGACGTATTACACAGACACGACGTATTACACAGACACGAGGTATCACACAGACACGAGGTATCACACAGACACGCCATGTCACAAAGACACGACGTATTACACAGACACGACGTATTACACAGACACGAGGTATCACACAGACACGAGGTATCACACAGACACGACGTATTACACAGACACGACGTATTACACAGACACGTGTATTACACAGACACGAGGTATCACACAGACACGACGTATTACATAGACACGCCATGTCACAAAGACACGACGTATTACACAGACACGACGTATTACACAGACACGAGGTATCACACAGACACGACGTATTACACAGACACGAGGTATCACACAAACACGACGTATTACACAGACACGATATCACACAGACATGGTGTATCACACAGACACAGCGTATCACACAGACACGGCATATCACACAGACACGGTGTATCACACAGACATGGTGTATCACACAGACATGGTGTATCGTCAATGTTACAGTAGTCAATGAGTCAATGTTTACACAGACACGATATCACACAGACACGGCGTATCACACAA